CCACACACACACACTTTTGGAGTTGTGTATAGCGAACATGACAAACATGAACACGCATAATAATTACCTTGTTACGATCCTGGTCATTTCCCAAGTGCAAATTGACAATGAAAGACAATGCCACCCAATTGCGAAAGAAATGAAAGCACTTGCAAAGAGATAAAGATCAGAAGAGAGGGAAAGAAGAAGAAGAAGAAGAAGAAGAAGATGTACACCAGCAAGACCAATGACAATTCCCCCTTCTCTCTCCACCTTCCTCCTCCTCCTTCTCTTCACCAATCTTATTCTTCTCTCAATAATAATAATAACAATGAATGGATGAACCAGAATCAATATCCGAAGTTCCCTCTTACTGTTGACTCAACTCAACAACAACAACAACAACAACAACAACAACCAGTCCACCATAGTTATGGCTTCCCTCCTTCAGCCTCCTCTCTCATGCATAGGCTATGGCGGACTGCCCAAAGCAGCTAGGGTGCTGCGCCGATGTCCAAAGGACAACCCAAGCAGCTATGGTGCTGCGCTGATGTCCAAAGGACCACTCAGAGCAGCTATGCCGCTGCTGACTTGGTCCGCTATGCCTGACTCTGCCTCGAGCTTCCCTGGTGCCGCACTACCCCAACTGGGGTCTTCCGGATGCAGCGCCCAACACGGTGATGAAGATGGTATCTACCATAGCCAGGTAAGTGCCCCGCCACTCTCCTACTATGCCCCCTTCTTCCTCCTCCTCAAGCTGGACTGCTCGCCATAGCCAGGCTGAGCTCCACCGGCCCTTCACCTCCAAGCAGCGCTGCCTCAGTCCAGCGCTGCGCTCCAGCAGCATGTCGCTAATCCCTGCACACCGCAAATGAGGAAGAGCTCCTTGCTCTTCCTGGAGATATAGCGGCCTACCGGCCTCCTGGGCGGTTACTTCCTAGGCCGAGCGGCCTCCCAGCAACCGGTACCTCCTCCCTTTCGGAGGGAAACATCATTGCAGGCTCTCCTAACCTCCGTACAGGCCCTAGACCCGGGCTACGTGGACTGGTACCGGCCTACCGCTATCCTACCGCTACTGGGCCTCTAAAAATGCCAACTTTTTGTCTTCTTCTGCTCGGCCTCCAGTACCCAACACCCCTACCACTACATGAGTGGTACCGGCCTACCTGCTACTTGAGTGTTTTTCCCCGCTGTTGCGGGCCTACCCCCGCTACTTGAGTGTTTTCCCCCTGCAACCCTCAAAGTCACGGCCACAGGTAAGTACCGGCCCTGCGGGGCCCTTCAACCAACAAGTACCCTTGCGGGTCATACACACACTCAACCGACAAGCACTCAGACAGGCACGCAAACCAGCAGGCGCGCACACATACCAGCAGGCGCGCACACATACCAGCAGGCGCGCACACATAGACATGGAAATCACAGCAGAATGCGGGAATTTCAGCAAGGCATTCATTCCAGCAGCAAATCCCAGAAATCAGCAGTGTTCTTAGTCTGTGTTTTTGGCGGGTCATTACATTACCCCCCTCTCAAGAGTGAGGTCCCTTCGAGCGAGTAACTCATTCAGAGTTGGCACAAAATGCGTCATAAGAGTAAATCAGAAGGAGAGACTTAGTAAGTCCGTGAGGAGTCATGATCGCAACAAATTTAGCAGTCTGTCCCTCAGCGATCTGTCGTTCATAAGCGTTCACCACACGGGGAGCACTCTTTAGCAACTCTTTTCGGTCGATCCAGAAGAACTTAGTCAACGAGTGATAGAGGAAGTGAACCTTGT